AAAATAAGTGTAAGAAAAAAAAATTGAATAATAATTTCCTGTCAATATGCACATCTACATAGTATGACCTTATTATCTACAAAGTTTCATGAAATTCTGTTGCGTGGTTTCAGAGGAGTTGCGATGACAAACTGTTGCAGTAGTACATTAAAGCAAATAAGTTCAAAGGGGCGCAACTTCTAGAAAAAAAATTGAATCGTAATTTCCTGTCAATATGCACATCTACATAGTATGTCCTTATTATCTACAAAGTTTCATGAAATTCTGTGGTGTGGTTTCAGAGGAGTTGTGATGACAAACTGTTGCAGTAGTACATTAAAGCAAATAAGTTCAAAGGGGCATAACTCCTAGAAAAAAAATTGAATCGTAATTTCCTGTCAATATGCACATCTACATAGTATATCCTTATTATCTAAAAAGGTTTCGTGAAATTCTGTTGTGTGGTTTGAGAGGAGTTGCGATGACAAGAAACAGGACTGACGGACGGACGGACGGACGGACAGACGGACGGACAGGTCAAAAACATTATACATACCGCAACTCTTTGTGTGGGGTATAATAAGCTAAGAAACATTGATGATGAATTATTCACTTGCAAGTGAATAATTCGACCTCATTGAATCCATATTCATGTGAACTTCAATTTAACCCCTTAGCTAGAGATGGATAACACGTGAATTGTATGTGTAAAGTTATTTAAAGGAAAAGAATGTCAACATTGAAAGTGAAACAAAGGTAAATCATTTGATTGACTGATCCGATCCACAAAAAATCATTCTTATACAGGTAAAAACGATGATAAACATATATTTTTAATCTATAATATGAAATTTAACAGACCTAGAAAAATCCAAAAACACGAGTTCGCTTAAGTTATTTATATCTTTATTTATGTTTACATTGCTTATATGGTCATCGGATGACTTTGGAGGTCAACTCGATAGTTAATTAGATGGCGTCTAGACAAAAATACACACGAAACGAAGCTACGTGTTATCATGCCCATGTCCTGTTAACTGTTTATTTTAGACTTTTAATAGTTTGGATAAATGTTTTACATTGTTATAAATCAAATATGAGAATTTGAGTCAAATCAGTGAACATGAATTTGACAGCTAGTGCCCCTTGAATATCACCAATAACAGCCAAAACTATCTAGACTATAAAGTCAACAAATAAATACATGAAAATGAGTGAACTGGTGAAAAAAATGGAACATTTAGAATCCTAACTGCTTAAGATGGAAGAGAGAAACATCACAAGGATTGAAATGTAAAATATCTTTTTCATTATTATTTCACTAAAAAATAAATGGTGAATGTGTCAATGGGACACAGATGATGCCCTGTATGATAACATCATAAAGGGACATAAGTAAAGAACAGTAAAAATTCGTTCTTCATCTGAGTTTTGTGGTAATAAGCATTGTGTATAAGTTTCATAACATTTGGTTGAGGCAAACTTAAATTAGAGAACAGAAATGAATAAAATGCTTCGCTGGGCGCAGCTTGATACGACCGCAGAGGTCGAACCCTGAACAGTTGGGGCAAGTATGGACACAACATTCAAGCTTGATACAACTCTAAATTTGGATTGTGATTAAATATTTGACACAGCATAGGTTTTTGACACAGAAAGAATGTGGTCTAAGAATTTGAATTTTTTTAATTTACCTATTATGGTCCAATGTCCAAAATCAAATACACGGTTAGATTTGGCATATCAAAGAACCCCATATATTCATTTTTTGTTGAAATCAAACAAAGTTTAATTTTGGACCCCAATTTGGACCAACTTGAAAACTGGGCCAAAAATCTAAAATCTAAATACATGTTTAGATTCAGCATATCAAAGAACCCCATATATTCAATTTTTGTTGAAATCAAACAAAGTTTAATTTTGGACCCCAACTGGGACAAACTTGAAAACTGGGCCCATAATCAAAAATCTAAACACATGTTTAGATTCAGCATATCAAAGAACCCCAAGAATTCAATTTTTGTTGAAATCAAACTAAGTTTAATTAAGGACCCTTTGGACCTTAATGTAGACCAATTTAAATAAAATGCTCCGCAGGGCGCAGCTTGATACGACCGCAGAGGTCGAACCCTGAACAGTTGGGGCAAGTATGGACACAACATTCAAGCTTGATACAGCTCTGAATTTGGATTGTGAATAAATATTTGACACAGCATAGGTTTCTGACACAGAATGAATGTGGTCTAAGAACTTAAAAATTTTAAATTGGACATTCACCTATTATGGTCCAATATCCAAAATCTAAATACATGGTTAGATTCAGCATATCAAAGAACCCCAAGAATTCAATTTTTGATGAAATCAAACAAAGTTTAATTTTGGACCCCGATTTGGACCAACTTGAAAACTGGGCCCATAATCAAAAATCTAAATACATGTTTAGATTCAGCATATCAAAGAACCCTAAAAATTCAATTTTTGTTAAAATCAAACTAAGTTTAATTTTGGACCCTTTGGACCTTAATGTAGACCAATTTGAAAACGGAACCAAAAATTAAGAATTTAAATACACGGTTAGATTCGGAATATCAAAGAACCCCAATAATTCAATTTTTGATGAAATCAAACAAAGTTAAATTTTGGACCCTTTTGACCTCAATGTGGACAAAGTTGATAACGGGGCCCAAAAATCAAAAATCTAAATACATGGTTAGATTCAGCATATCAAAGAACCCCATATATTCAATTTTTGTTGAAATCAAACAAAGTTTAATTTTGGACCCCGATTTGGACCAACTTGAAAACTGGGCCCATAATCAAAAATCTAAATACACGGTTAGATTCAGCATATCAAAGAACCCCAATAATTCAATTTTTGATGAAATCAAACAAAGTTTAATTTTGGACCCTTTGGACCTCAATGTGGACCAATTTAAAAACGGGGCCCAAAATCCAAAAACTTAATACACGGTTAGATTCAGCATATTAAAGAACCCCAAGAATTCAAGAATAAAACCCCATTGAAATTGATCAAGAAATAAGCAATTTATACGAAGTATCTTCTTTTGCACAATACTGTGCAATTGAATATTTCTTGCTATTGCGCAATACTGTGCAATTGAAGATTTCTTGCTATTGCGCAATACTGTGCAATTGAAGATTTCTTGCTATTGTGCAATACTGTGCAATTGAAAATTTCTTGCTATTGCACAATACTTATTAGATAATAATTTACACATCCTGTTTGGTGTGTATCTCCTACCATATCATTATTATTTGCTTTTAAATATTAATCAGAAATAACCAACTTAAAATGGAAAATTTTAAAAGAAAAAAAAAAGGAAAAAAAGAAGAAAAAAAAGAAAAAAAAAAAAAAAAATCCCCCCCCAAATTTTTTGAACCCCCTTATGATTCATCACCCCCAAACTCAATCCCAGCCTTCCCTTTGTGGTATGGTACCTTGCAGTACAATTTCAGAGAGATCCATACACTTGAACACAAGTTATTGTCTGGAAACTAGAAAAATGCTTATTTTTGGCCCCTTTTTGGCCCCCAATTCCTAAACGTTTCGGGCAATTACCCCCAAACTCAATTCCAGCTTTCCCTTTGTGATATGGAACCTTGTAGTACAATTTCAGAAATATCCAAACACTAACACACAAGTTATTGTCATGAAACTAAAAAAATGCTTGTTTTTGGCCCCTTTTTTGGCCCCTAATTCCTAAAATTTTGAGGCAATTACCCCCAAAATCAATTACAGCCTTTCCTTTGTGATATGGAACCTTGTGGTACAATGTCAGAGAGATCCATACACTTACACACAAGTTATTGTCTGGAAGTTACAAAAATGCTTATTTTTGGCCCCTTTTTGGCCCCTAATTCCTTAACTGTTGGTACCATAACCCCCAAAATCAATCCCAACCTTCCTTTCGTGGTATTGAACCTTATGGTAAAATTTCATGGAGATCCATTCACTTAAACTAAAGTTAGAGTGCGAAAACCAATGTGTCTTCGGACGACGCCGGACGACGACGACGACGACGACGACGACGCCGGACGACGACGACGCCAACGTCATACCAATATACGACCAAACATTTTTTAATTTTTGCGGTCGTATAAAAACAGGACCCAAAATTAAAAATCTAAATACACGGTTAGATTTGGCATATCAAAGAACCCCAATAATTCAATTTTTGATAAAATCAAACAAAGTTTAATTTTGGACCCTTTTGACCTCAATATGAACCAATTTGATAGTGGGGCCCACAAATAAAAAATCTAAATGCATGGTTAGATTCAGCATATCAAAGAACCCCATATATTCAATTTTTGTTGAAATCAAACAAAGTTTAATTTTGGACCCCAATTTGGACCAACTTGAAAACTGGGCCAAAAATCAAAAATCTAAATACATATTTAGATTCAGCATATCAAAGAACCCCATATATTCAATTTATGTTAAAATCAAACAAAGTTTAATTTTGGACCCTTTGGACCTTAATGTAGACCAATTTGAAAACTGGACCCAAAATTAAAAATCTAAATACACTGTTAGATTCGGCATAACAAATAAATACATGTGGTAATAAAATGCTTCGCTGGGGCGCAGCTTGATACGACCGCAGAGGTCGAACCCTGAACAGTTGGGGCAATTATGGACACAACATTCAAGCTTGATACAGCTCTGAATTTGGATTGTTATTAAATATTTGACACAGCATAGGTTTCTGACACAGAAAGAATGTGGTCTAAGAACTTGAATTTTTTTAATTTACCTATTATGGTCCAATGTCCAAAATCAAAATACATGGTTAGATTCAGCATATCAAAGAACCCCATATATTCAATTTTTGTTAAAATCAAACAAAGTTTAATTTTGGACCCCAACTTGGACAAACTGGAAAACTGGGCCCATAATCAAAAATCTAAACACATGTTTAGATTCAGCATATCAAAGTACCCCAAGAATTCAATTTTTGCTAAAATCAAACTAAGTTTAATTTTGGACCCTTTGGACCTTAATGTAGACCAATTTAAAAAACGGGACTTAAAATTAAAAATCTAATACACGGTTAGATTTGGAATATCAAAGAACCCCAATAATTCAATTTTTGATGAAATCAAACAAAGTTTAATTTTGGACCCTTTTGACCTCAATATGAACCAATTTGATAGCGGGGCCCACAAATAAAAAATCTAAATTCATGGTTAGATTCAGCATATCAAAGAACCCCATATATTCAATTTTTGTTGAAATAAAAAAAAGTTTAATTTTTGACCCCAACTTGGACCAACTTGAAAACTGGGCCCATAATCAAAAATCTAAACACATGTTTAGATTCAGCATATCAAAGAACCCCAAGAATTCAATTTTTGTTAAAATCAAACTAAGTTTAATTTTGGACCCTTTGGACCTCAATGAAGATCAATTTAAAAAACGGGACCCAAATTAAAAATCTGAAAACACGGTTAGATTTGGCATATCAAAGAACCCCAATAATTCAATTTTTGATGAAATCAAACAAAGTTTAATTTTGGACCCTTTTGACCTCAATATGAACCAATTTGATAGCGTGGCCCACAAATAAAAAATCTAAATACATGGTTAGATTCAGCATATCAAAGAACCTCATATATTCAATTTTTGTTGAAATCAAACAAAGTTTAATTTTGGACCCCAATTTGGACCAACTTGAAAACTGGGCCCATAATCAAAAATCTAAATACATGTTTAGATTCAGCATATCAAAGAACCTCATATATTCAATTTTTGTTGAAATCATACAAAGTTTAATTTTGGACCCCAATTTGGACCAACTTGAAAACTGGGCCCATAATCAAAAATCTAAATACATGTTTAGATTCAGCATATCAAAGAACCCCATATATTCAATTTTTGTTGAAATCAAACAAAGTTTAAATACTGGACCCTATCTTGGACCAACTTGAAAACGGCCCATAATCAAAAATCTAAACACATGTTTAGATTCAGCATATAAAAGAACCCAAAGAATTCAATTTTTGTTAAAATCAAACTAAGTTTAATTTTGGACCCTTTGGACCTTAATTTAGACCAATTTAAAAAAACAGGACCCAAAATTAAAAATCTAAATACACGGTTAGATTTGGAATATCAAAGAACCCCAATAATTCAATTTTAGATGAAATCAAACAAAGTTTAATTTTGGACCCTTTTGACCTCAATATGAACCAATTTGATAACGGGGTCCACAAATAAAAAATCTAAATACATGGTTAGATTCAGCATATCAAAGAACCCCATATATTCAATTTTTGTTGAAATCAAACAAAGTTTAATTTTGGACCCCAATTTGGACCAACTTGAAAACTGGGCCAAAAATCAAAAATCTAAATACATGTTTAGATTCAGCATATCAAAGAACCTCATATATTCAATTTTTGCTAAAATCAAACAAAGTTTAATTTTGGACCCTTTGGACCTTAATGTAGACCAATTTGAAAACTGGACCCAAAATTAAAAATCTAAATACACTGTTAGATTCGGCATAACAAATAAATAAATGTGATCAAAGATTTTACAAATCTAATGCGCCATACTGTGCAATTAAAGATTACTTCTTGAAATTTTTCAATATTTGAAATTTGAAAAAAAATAATATTTGAAGAATAATTCTTTTTAATTTATGAAATCTGAAATGAGAAAAAATTGATCCCCCCACAATTTCTTTTTACCCCCCCCCCCTTTTTTCCCCAAAAAAATTCTTTCCCTCAAGATATGGTCATAATCTCAATTCAAATTTCCAATGGAGTTGGCAACCATAATTACCCATTTAAATTTACCATAGTGCTAACTTAATCTATTTTATAATAGAATTAAAAATATAGTGTCAAATCTTTCATATGGATTTTTTTGTAAAAAAAAAAGATGCAACATTTGCAGATATTTTTACTGGTCTTCCTTTAGTTATGCATTTCTTTAAACATAATTTAAAAGCAGTGTAAGGGAAGTAACCAAAACGTTGTATTTGGATTACCTCCCTTACACTGTTTTAAATTATCTTTATTGTTCATTAACCATTACTTTATACATAATTTAAAAGCAGTGTAAGGGAGATAATTTCAATGATGTATTTGATTTATCTCCCTTACACTGCTTTAAATTATGTTTTGTACTAAAGTATTTGTCCATTAACCAGGACAACCTTGTTTTTCCCCCTTTTTTGCCCCTAATTCCTAAACGGTTTGAGCCATAACCCCCAAAAGCAAATCCTAACCATCCCTTTGTGGTATGGAAACTTGTAGTATAATTTCAGAGAGATCCATACACCGTTCCACAGTTATTGTCTGGAAACTAGAAAATGCTTATTTTTGGCCCCTTTTTGGCCCCTAATTCCTTAACTGTTGGTACCAAAACCCCCAAAATCAATCCCAACCTTCCTTTTGTGGTATTTAACCTTATGGTCAAATTTCAAAAAGATCCATTCACTTAAACTAAAGTTAGAGTGCGAAAACCAATGTGTATTCGGACGACGACGCCGGACGACAATGACGACGACGACGACGCCAACGTCATACCAATATACAACCACAAAATTTTTTTGCGGTCGTATAAAAAATTTAACAAATCTAATGCGCCATACTGTGCAATTAAAGATTACTTCTTGAAATTTTTCAATATTTGAAATTTGAAAAAAAAAATAATATTTGAAGAATAATTCTTTTTAATTTCTGAAATCTGAAATGAGAAAAAAAAGACCCCCCCAATTTCTTTTTACCCCCCCCCCCCCCCCCCTTTTTTCCCCAAAAAAATTCTTTCCCTCAAGATATGGTCATAATCTCAATTCAAATTTCCAATGGAGTTTGCAACCATAATTAACTATTTAAATTTACCATAGTGCTAACTTAATCTATTTTATAATAGAATTTAAAATAAAGTGTCAAATCTTTCATATGGATTTTTTTGTAAAAAAAAAAAGATGCAACCTTTGCAGATATTTTTACTGGTCTTCCTTTATAAATATGCATTTCTTTAAACATAATTTAAAAGCAGTGTAAGGGAAGTAACCAAAACGTTGTATTTGGATTACCTCCCTTACACTGTTTTAAATTATCTTAATTGTTCATTAACCATTACTTTATACATAATTTAAAAGCAGTGTAAGGGAGGTAATTTCAATGATGTATTTGATTTATCTCCCTTACACTGCTTTAAATTATGTTTTGTACTAAAGTATTTGTCCATTAACCAGGACAACCTTGTTTTTCCCCCTTTTTTGCCCCTTATTCCTAAACGGTTTGAGCCATAACCCCCCAAAGCAAATCCTAACCATCCCTTTGTGGTATGGAAACTTGTAGTATAATTTCAGAGAGATCCATACACCATTCCACTGTTATTGTCTGGAAACTAGAAAATGCTTATTTTTTGGCCCCTTTTTTGCCCCTAATTCCTTAACTGTTGGTACCATAACCCCAAAAAAAAATCCCAACCTTCCTTTTGTGGTATTGAACCTTAAGGTAAAATTTCATAGAGATCCATTCACTTTAACTAAAGTTAGGGTGCGAAAACCAATGTGTCTTCGGACAACACGAAGACGATACCCGACGACAACGACGCCAATGTCATACCAATATACGACCACAAAATTTTTTTTGCGGTCGTATAAAAATTCAGCAATTTTTCCATTTGAAAAGGGACATTACTCTATAACAGTAAAAGTGACGCCACCCAAATTTAAATTTGATCTGTGTTTTGTGGTAATAAGCATTGTGTATAAGTTTCATAACATTTGGTTAAGGCAAACTGAAGTAAGAGAATGGAAACAAATTTCAGCATTTTTTTCATTTGTAAAGGGGCATAACTCTAGAACGGTAAAAACAAGGACACCAAAAGTCAAACTTGATCTGTGTTTTGTGGTAATAAGCATTGTGTATAAGTTTCATAACATTTGGTTGAGGCAAACTTAAGTTTGAGAACGGAAACCAATTTCAGGACGTACAGACGGACAAGGGTAAAACTTAACACCCCCTCCACTACGATGGGGGTATAATTACCAGACTTTTTTTTCTTCATTGTATCACCACTTTCTTCTAATAAAATTCTTTTTTTCTTCATTGTATCACCACTTTCTTCTAATAAAATTCAGAGAAAAAAATGATTTTGATTGATATCTTCAAAGGAAAGTTTGGTATGTTTTTGACTTATTTATTCCAAGAAAGAAGCATTTTACTTAACAAGTATACATTATTGTTTAGGGGCCAGCTGAAGCCCTCACCCCGGTGTGAGATTTTCTCACTGCATTGAAGACCCATTGGTGGCCTTGCACTGTTTTTTGTGCTTTGGTAGGGTTGTTGTCCTTTTGACTCATTCCCATTTCCAATCTCTATTCTATTGCAAATGCACTCTTTCTACCATAACAAAATATTTAGTAACTAATTTGTATTAAAATTAGTGTTCATTCTTCATTATGAACTAGTACTGTTTTCAAATATATTTGTACAAATACCTTATATTGTTAAATAGCAATAAAATAGGTAAAAAGCAATAAATTGTATTGTAGATAATGTTCAGGTTAGCCTTATGCAATTTTGTTTAATGTTAAGCAAATAACTGATGATGGTATCTAAAATTAAACTTAATTAACTAATATCAGATGATTATGACACTGATATACCCTGCTTGCATTTTCTGATACCTATTTTTGTTTGTCTTCTTTGAAAAAAATATTAATAATTAATCCTTCATTGTTCATCTTTGACACATATTACAGAATAATTTATGAAATGTAGATCAGAGGTAATCAAATTTATACTTTGGAGGTCAATAATTGTGTTTTGAGATGTGTAATAAAGTGTCTATTTAATTATGTATCAAAAGATATATTTAACTTTGGTCAATTAAGATTGGCATGCAAGTGGAGGTAATTTCAATCATACTCACACCTTTGAGTTCAATTGTTTGTAATTCATGGCAGTATTCAACCATACTAGTGTTGTATCAGTACTCTTTGGTACTTGCCAACCATACTAGTATTGTATCAGTACTCTTTGGTACTTGCCAACCATACTAGTATTGTTTCAGTACTCTTTGGTACTTGCCAACCATACTAGTATTGTTTCAGTACTCTTTGGTACTTGCCAACCATACTAGTATTGTATCAGTAGTATTCAGTACTCTTTGGTACTTGCCAACCATACTAGTATTGTATCAGTAGTATTCAGTACTCTTTGGTACTTGCCAACCATACTAGTATTGTATCAGTACTCTTTGGTACTTGCCAACCATACTAGTATTGTATCAGTAGTATTCAGTACTCTTTGGTACTTGCCAACCATACTTGTATTGTTTCAGTACTCTTTGGTACTTGCCAACCATACTAGTATTGTATCAGTACTCTTTGGTACTTGCCAACCATACTAGTATTGTATCAGTACTCTTTGGTACTTGCCAACCATACTAGTATTGTATCAGTACTCTTTGGTACTTGCCAACCATACTAGTATTGTTTCAGTACTCTTTGGTACTTGCCAACCATACTAGTATTGTATCAGTACTCTTTCGTACTTGCCTTAGGAAAGAATTTGAATAATAGTATTTGAAAAAGTGTGGGAATCTACTTTGATATCAATACACATCTTGTACCAAATTTTATGCGATTACTTACACAAGCATGACATTCTGATATAATACTATCATAATTCTTATCATCTGCTTAAATTTGATTTCCTTTTCACGTTGATACATAAATAGTAATATTTTGTAAATTTTTATTTACAAAGGAACTATATGCAAGTGTACATCTAAAATTTAGTAGCTGTTTGATCTCTTTTTATTTTATTTTGAGGGCAAATAACATGTCAAAGTTGACAGTGGATGATTAAAATTTTTTTGAAATTTTCTGCAAGCCATAAAACAAATTTTTTGTTTCATGATATCTTCCATTCAAAGTTCAATTTCTGCACCGTCTTAAAATCCAGGGTGATTACATAAACCCAGCATGTCTGCATTAAAATTACTCTTTCATGTATTTGGGACACACAGTAGATGTCAAGCCAAATAACAAACTGAAGCTATAGTATAAGTCAATAAATAGACATTAACCCATGAGCTCTACAATTTTATTCTGGAATAGAAAACCACAATACAATATTACCAGTAATTTCATGAATAGTCACAAGCTTTAGTGCTTTTTCTTAAATCAAATATCTTTGGTTATAAATTCATATGATTTAAACATAAAAATTCCTTGAAATAAAAATGTATCACAGGCTTTTACAATTTTTCCGAACATGAAACTGAGAATAAATGATCTCATAATATTCAATATAATGACATATCAATGTCCATTTTTACCCAAAACAGAAGATAATAAAAAAAATCAGACACTGTTTAATTTGTACTTGCTGTTTACCTTTAATTTGAGACTCTAAAAATGAATTAAATACAGCTAAATGGCTACATTAAAACTGTATATAAATATGAAAATTTAACCTCAAAATGTAATTAACTCATGCGGTGAACATTTCATAAATAAATGGGGAATGTGTCCATGGGTCACAGATGATGCCCCCGCATGCATATCATATAAAGTTATAAAGGGACATAACTGAAGAACGGTAAAAGTGACACTTCCCAAATTTGTACTTGATCTGAGTTTTGTGGTAACAAGTATTGTGTATAAGTTTCATAACATTTGGTTGAGGCTAACTTAAATTAGAGAACAGAAACCAACTTTGGGACGTACAGATGTACGTACAGACGTACAAAGGGTAAAACTTAATGCCCCCTCCGCTATGGTGGGGGCATAAAAATGTTTCTAAAATCCATGCGTACTGATGATATATAATAATCCCACAAACCACATATATTTTGTAAGGTATATTTTACAAATGATGTTCAACAAAATAGATTTTCCTAAAACCATAAAGTACTACCAAGTACTATTTTTTACATTTTTTTTTTACAACAAATACAAGCTAAAAACAACAATGTAAATAAATCCCACAAAAGAACTTTATATGAAAGTTAGCACCCAATGCAGGAACCGTAAAATAATTAAGAAAAAAATATGTATTATGAACATTAAAATATCAACAACATTGATACAATGGCAAAGGACCAAATCTCACTATTTAAAAAGAAAAGGATAAAACATTGTACATTGTTTAAATATCTCATTTTGTTTGTGAATGGGTATTTGTGTGCAAGAAGGCATATTCATTTCTCTCAATGTTCATCTCCCAGTCCATATAATTCACGATAAATCTTAAAACCAACCCTAGATAACTTTTGTTTTTTATAAAATGATTATCAACAACTGTAATATAGTTTAATATGATTATCAAAATTTCTATTTGAGAATGATTACCAAGAACTCTATTTAAGAATAGCTCTCCAATTAGAGTTTAATGAAATATAAAACCCTTTCATAAAAGTTTTTTTGTGTGTCATCTTTTCACAATTTAACATGAACTGTCAGAAAATCAGAATTAAATTGAATGATATTCTGTTTGAAAATAATGTATTATACAAAACATAGACTGGTAAAAAGGTTCATGTGCCAAATTTGCACACTTTAAATAATTCAAATCTTACACTTCGAATACTTCCTTTACAATTTGCAACTGATGGTAATAATTTTCAATTTGATAATAAAATAAATGATTGAAAAGGCAAAATAATAAAATAAATGATTGAAAAGGCAATTCTGTCCATACAAATTGTGAAATCTTATTTACTACATCCCACAGCCATTTGAACAGAAAAGCCCTTAGTTCTTAACCTTGTAAATTTGATAACATTCAATTAAATCTAGACATGAAATTAGTTTTCTAAATAATTAGAAAATTGCTACTGCACAATCAAAGGGTACCAATTTTACAAAGGTTGTCCAATTATAAAGTAAACATATATCCTCTCTGTTGTCTGGATCTATGCCAGTCATACTTTACTTTAGCATAATGGATAGCTCCTCTCAAGAATACAAACAGCCCTGTGAAGAAAATAACTATAGTCAAATAATACACAATACTAGAGTTAGAGATATTAATGGAAACATTAGTAGCCATAACACATGTCTGACGAGAAATTCACTAGATATCCTACAAAAGCAACTAATTAAAAACACTAATAAGAAGATTTTTCTGAATTGAAATTTGAACTTTTCCTAATAGAGCGAAAGAAATAAGTCTTTTTTTCTTACATAGCAGTTCTCTAACCTGTTTTCACTAATGTTTTTGCATATGGTGACTACTTGGATGAAACATAACTGTTTGAAACTATAATTATAACTTATCGAGTAAATGAAATTACTTCAAATAAACATACCACATAACATTAAAAGCCACCAGATAAATGAGTCTTCCTGTGCATACCCCTCAGCCCATTTGTTGTGCTGAAAGTAATAAATCAGAATAAAATATATATTAAAAAAAAATGTTTCATGCACTTTTTTTAAAATTAGTACCCTACAGTACAGATTTCGCGAAAGGCTTCCCAAACTCCAAACACCAAGTTTTTTCTTGGTGTGACACCAGGAAACTCCGACATCCCTCCCTAAATTCTCGGAGAAATTTGGGAGTATTCCCTCCGACTTCCGCGTAAATTCGCTACCTTTTGTTTATTGTATTAGCGACATCTCTCCCAGTCCGGTGTGACGCGGTGTCACACCAGGTAATTAATTGCCCTAATCCTTCTGATCTATACCGGCACACGACAGTCAAGGTATGTGAGATTACTTATGTAATTAAACAATTGTATTTCCTGTCTATTGATAATCAGGTTATATTTCTGATTGCTTGAAACAAATAAAAGATTTAAAAGCAAAACGTTGTTGTTAATTCTTTCAATTACACTGTACATTTAAAAATAGTTTTATTAAAAAAAAACTATATTTGATTTTTACCTCGTTTTTTTTTCCTGGTCAGTAAATTAATATTTAATTTACAAAAAAAGATATACTTGTGTAAAAATAAACGGAGACTTACGCTGAATAAATGTGGGCAGTTTAAAGGAAAATTACATGTCTCAAAGTTTTGTATACAAGTAAAAAAGAAAATATTATTCACTATTCGTTATGCTAATAAGTCCACGCCATTTTCATTTTACGATTACATAATTGCTTGAAACAAATTAAAGATTTAAAAGCAGAATGTTGTTGTTAATTCTTTCAATTGCATTAAAGTTTTATAACAAAAACTATACTTGATTTTGACCTTGTTTAAGTTCATCGGTAAATTATTTTATTTACGAAAAGAGTCATACTTGCGTAAAAATAAACGGAAACTAACGCTGAATATAAAAGTGAGCAGTTTAAAGAAAATTACATGTCTCAAAATTTGTATATGCTAGTAAAAAAGAAAATACTATTCACCATTCGTTATGCTTAATAAGTCTACGGCATTTTCTCTTTAGGATTGGTTGGCATTACTTTAGGATAAATAATTACATTTCGGCTACAACAGGAATACTTCTATAGCTGCATCAACTCGTCGTTGCATAATATTCATTTACGCACAATGAATGTAAACTTGTGTGTTGTATAAAGGACAGTGATTTTTTAATTTTTTAAAAGAAATTAATTGCCGTGGGAAGACGATACACATCTCAGTGATCAACAGTCCGTGGTTGAACTTTGAACTTGACTTCGCTCACAATATTGAATGCTAAAAATAGTGACATCAATTTTGTCCACGAGATTTTTATTTGGCGGGAAATATTATCACGTAACAGTAAACTCAGGTGACCTTTCTGGATGACCGTGGGAAAATTCATTCGGGGTTATAATTTGCTTTGGAATGATTGACATTTGTATGCCTTAAGATTGAGGCTCTGGAAGGTCCTTTTACAATTGATTAACCGGAATCTAAAATATAATCCTTTTCTGAATAAACGAACACCAGCCTTTTAATTTTACGTTTCTCAGTCAACACAGGACATAAACCTGGACATTATTTATACGTCCATGGTCAACAATATACATAAATGGTAGATGAAAACAGGATGCATGTCGTTCAGTTCCTGTTGGGCGTTGGTAGAGATCCTCTGTGAAAATGTGTAGATCGTAAAAATCCGATCCACATTTTTTTCACATATTTCTTTCTTGTAGAACACGATATAATTTCATTTAAATATTCTATAATATTAATTGTTGAAATACTTCTTTTTTAAATTTCGCCAAGGACTTTTAACGAGCAGTAAAATACGGATTGCGCCCATCCAATTTTATTTTAAATAATAAAGGATCAATAACAGATCATAAGAGATAAACAACACATGATTTTTTTTCTTCATATAATTAAATTAGGTTGTGATTATTGTGTTGTGTCTGGGCGGGGAATTTCTCTCAGTGTTGTGTTTTTATGAATATAGGGCACATTGCATACAAAACGTTTTCCCTTCGTTCAACAGAGTTGTCACTTTACAGTTTCTTTTCTGAGTTCAAATATTTCAAGTCGGTAATCTACCGAGGTAGTGAAACATAATATTTTACATTGCAAAATAAATTGAAAGAAACAGAGTTCACTTGTTGATCCGATAAATTAACTCTTGGGTTTAGATTGGACAAATTACCGTAAAATTTAAAACATCATTTTGTTTTAAGCCAGTTGATATTTATATATTGAACAATTAATGAACCGGATATTGCTCACTGAGTAGGTCATAAAAGATTCTAATTGTAGTAAAATCGTCTTTGTTGAAAAAACAAAAATAATGACCTGACTGGACTTTAATAAAAATACAAAATAAGTGTTTAATTCGTATTTTTATACGTTTGTACGTTTTATTTCAAATGACAATGACATGGGGCAAATAATACAAGAATAATTATCTTATTTTGAATGAAAATGTCACATTTTTATCTGTCAAAGAAAGGAAATTTTAATACCGTGTTTTAAAGCACACAGGTGCAATCAAGATCGATTAAATGTACAAAGGTAATAAATCTGGCTAATCCGATTATGTTGTCACGCGTCATTAATTTTCAGTACATCCGATGGGCAATAAACCAATTAACAGCCACGCGGTGTTGGGAGAGAATCTTTGGAGGAAATTGGGAGTATAATCCGTGATTCGCGGTGTGACACCGCTACACTCCGAAATCCGTGATTAGAGTTCGCGATTACAAACTCTCTGTGCGTACTGTACCTTCAATGTAACAATAAAATCCTTAAGATTTTGCATTTTGGTAGAATTCTGCATTTTGGTAGAAATCTGTACCAACTAAATTGGTAACGTAACAGAAACAACAGCAATTTTGTTACTTTTTCTTAGATTGTAATTTACACTTAAAAGTCATAACATAGCAGAGACCTAGGTTGCCAAAATGCCAAAAAAATTTAGAATATGAAAAAATGAAGATACAGGACCTAGTTTTTATTATTAAAGGACTTTATATTTTTGAATTACAAAAGTTAAGGATCCCATTCTTTACACTGAAGCTTTAAACAGAACCGTTGAATTTCTCAAGTTGGTTCCTGGACCTTTCATTATTTAAAGCAAACTTGAACCCCTGGACCGTACACACCAATGAAACAGCAATGCAACATCACAATAAAACCAGAAAAGACATCTTTAGGTTAATGTATTTGTCTTTTCATAGTCAGATGAACCGAAACAAAATGGTGTTACATTTTATATCAATAGTATACAAAGGGAGGTAATTCATGGTGTTTCTTGAATTCATGGTCATACCCATTTGGGTTATGGAATGCATACATTACATTGAATTGAAGTAATTTAGTTGGTTTGTGCCTACTTGAATTCTATAAGGTTCCCAAAACAACACAAATTTCATGTTAAATTCAGCTGTGAATTCTTTCATAGAATGACATAAGATACTGATAGTTGTGTTACATAAGAATTAAGCAAAGTTACTGTGCCCATCAGGAAGGTCTATGATTACATATGTGTTTTTTTTTCCTTTCAGGAATTTAGCATTGATGACTGTTCTTTGAAATCATCAGTTAAATGTAATCAAAAAATGTCTGGACCTTTAGTGATTTAGACCTTGACATATGGTTTTGAAACTGAATTGTTAAGACTTAAGGCAGATTCCATATAAGAAAGTGAAACAACTCCCATAAGCACGTTAGGCAAAAATCATAAGCAATGAACTTCTGTTTTTGAATACATGCTTTACTAATAACGATAAAGACAATTTGACCTAAAAAAAAATTATGAGCATCATCCTTTTTAAATAAACGAAGCCTTAAATATTATGTTTCTGACATAAGATTTGACAGACTTTATTGTTCCTGACATAAGATTTGACAGACTTTATTGTTTCTGACATAAGATTTTGACAGACTTTATTATTTCTGACATAAGATTTGACAGACTTTATTTTTTCTGACATAAGATTTGACAGACTTTATTATTTCTGACATAAGATTTGACAGACAAATTGAGTTTCTGACATAAGATTTTGACAGACTTGATTCTGACATAAGATTTTTCATACATAAGATATTTTGACAGACAATATATATTTGTTTTTTTTGACTGACATTGGACATCAAATCCTAGTTGAAAGTCATTTTTAAAACTCCTGGAAAATACTGTAGCCTAACATCTAACAAGATTTCACTACAGGTCAAAAAACTTTAACTGTTAGCACATTCAAATGTTTCAGACATAAGAAAACAAGTTTGACAGATCTTATGTAGGAAACATACAAGTTAAAACTATTGCTTGAATAAAGTTAAATGAAAGAATCAACATGTGTTTTTTCTTATGCACAGCATGACTTACAGTTTTAACTGGCATATATTGGAACCTACAATGATTTTGAAAGTTTTTACAGCGATATTCCTGACATAAGATTTATTGACAGACACTGAGCTATAACGCAAAATATTTGAAAGTGAAAAAAAATATATATCACAGATGTTTTTGACTAAAAAAAGTAACAAATTTGGGAACAGGGATGTTTGAATAACCAGACTACACTAGTAAATACCAGTATACAAGTGTCAACATAAAGCATTGCAACACATAAACATTGTGTAAAAAAATGGGAGTTAATTCTGTCAAAATTTTTGCATTTTTTCAACTTGTTTTAATCATTTCTACTTTAAACGGAAACAATCATATCCAAAAATTATTTTTATAATTTCTTTTAACATCATTATTCCTCAAAACATTCACAGATTATCTTTAAAATAACAGTAATTATTATTTTTATTTATTTATTCATTTTGACAGACATTTCAATTTCTTATATGGAATCTGCCTTAATGCTACTTCTTCATATCTGTTTTGTTGTTATGAGATTCATATGCAGATAATACTTTTTCAGTATGGTTTACAGTAGACTGTAAAACTGTTCCTTTGCAAAATTCCATTTCATATTTTGTTAAAAGCTTTATATCTTAAAATTTGACAAACCTTGAAAATTGCCACCCATTTTACGATGGAAAGTCCTAGTCCAGATAACGCCCCGCATCGTCCTGCTATGGTGTTGAAGAAACAAATAGCAAATAATAATCCAATCCAGTTAAAGAAGAAGGCCACTGAAAAAAGTGTAATGTAGTTATAAGATAAGGTTAAAATTATAAGTTTCACAAAAAATAAACTATTAACATCTTAAAATTCTTCAGGATATATACTGAAGTATGAAATGTAATCATAGTGACAATTAAACAACATCTGTAACTATCCTTTATACAGCTTCAAATATATGCTGCAGTATTCATCCAAAGTGAAAAGTATTGAGACAATCTTCTTATCAGTGATTTTTTTTAAATAAACTGTTGACACAGAGATATGTCATGTGTTTTGTAATTTTGATGGTATAATGTAAATGTTGACTTTAAAATGGCAATATTAAAATTTATATTTCGCCTCTCTTTTAAACATGTAAACTATGCAAATCATTCAAGGTCAATGAACCATGACTGAAGGTGCTGGACCAAATAACCTTATGGATGAAAATGTGAAATGCCAATGCTTATAAAACAGCATACCAAATACCATTGACTTATCATAAGTTGTTCCCTTTAAACTAACCTAAACACAAACTTTAACTTGTAAACTATGTAAAAGTTTCAAAGTCAATGGACCATGATGAGGGGGTGGGGCCATATAATCTCAACGGAAATGAGACTTGCAAATGCCAATACATCTGCATACCAAATGTCATTAAATTAACATTAATCGTTGACCTTAAACTGATCAAATCACAAACTTTAACATGTAAATAATGCAAAACATTAAAAGTCAATGAACCATAACTGAGGGGGGAGCCAAACAATCTCCATGGAAATGAGATAGGCCAATGCTAATACAGCTGCATACTTAATATCATTGACCTACCACTAATAGTTCCCCTTAAACTGACCTTATCACAAGCTAATAGATGTAAACTAAGCAAAAGTTAAAAAATGTCAATAGACAATGACTGAGGGGGCAGGGCAAAATAATCTTCATGGAAATGAGATGTGCCAATGCTTATACAACTGCATACAAATCATCAATGACCTACCACTAATGATTCCCCTTAAACTGACCTAATCACAAACTAGTACATGTAAACTAAGCAAAAATTTCAAAGTCAATAGACCATGACTAAGTTGGCGGGCCAAGTAATCTCCATGAAAATGAGAAGTGCCAATGCTAATACAACTGCATACTAAATATCATTGACCTGCCACTAGTGGTTCCCTATAAACTTGACCTAACTTATACATTGTTGACGCAGCCACATCTGCTGACGTTTTTTTTATGGGAGACAAAAATCAAAGACAACAATTTAAATAAAAATAAAAAGTAGGTCAATTGCTTCGAGAAATCTGATTCCTAGTTAAAAGTTCTACATAGTTACCAAAAATAACATTTACAATATTTCATAACAAAATAAATGTGGATAGTGTCCACATGTGGACACAGATGATGCCCCCGCTTGCATATCATATAGTTATAAAGGGACATAACTGAAGAACGGTAAAAGTGACGCTACCCAAATTTGAACTTGATCTGAGTTTTGTGGTAATAAGCATTGTGTGTAAGTCTCATAACATTTGGTTGAGGCTAACTTCAGAATAGAACGGAAACTAAAATTTTTTCAGGCTAACTTCAGAATAGAACGGAAACTAAAATTTTTTCAATTTTTCCATTTATAAAGGGGCATAACTCTAGAATGGTTAAAGTGACGCCACCAAAATTCAAAGTTGATCTATGTTTTGTGGTAATAAGCATTGTGTATAAGTTTCATAACATTTGGTTGAGGCTAACTTAAGTTAACTAAAAATTTTGCAATTTTTCCATTTATAAAGGGGCATAACTCTAGAACGGTTAAAGTGACGCCACCAAAATTCAAACTTGATCTGTGTTTTGTGGTTACAAGCATTGTGTATAAGTTTCATAACATTTGGTTGAGGCAAACTCAAGTTAGAGAACGGAAACCAATTTTGGGACGTACGTACAGACGGACAAGGGTAAAACTGAATGCCCCCACCGCTAGGGCAGGGGCATAAAAATGTTCAAAATTGTAGTGTTGTAAATGTAGAATAACAGGTCTGCACAACAATGAGTAATAAACTGCTTCCTGCTTCGCCTAGCGCAGCTGGATACGACCGCAGAGGTCCAACCCTGAACTGTTTGGGCAAAAATGGACACAATATTCAAGCTTGATACAGGTCTGAATTTGGATTGTAATTAAATATTTGACACATTTTAGGTTTCTGACACAGAATAAATGTAGTCAAAGAACTAGAAATTGGTTATATGATTTGAACTTATATTCAATTGAAGATTTCTTGCTTTTGTGCAATACACTGTGCTGTTGCGCAATACTTAGTAAATCTGTTTTCAGACTATATACAAAGAATTAGCAAAATAACTTGTGACCCCCAATTTTTCTTTGGAAAATTGACAATTTCTTAAATCTTAAATCTTCCCCAAAATTAATCCCAACCTTCCTTCTGTGGTATTGAACCTTCTTAAAAAATTTCATAGAGATCCATTCACTTTAACTAAAGTTATTGTCCGGAAACCAATGTGTCTTCGGACGAAGACACAGACGACGACGACATCATACCATTATACGATCCCAAAAAATTGTTTGCTGTCGTATAAAAAATGCTTGTTTTGGGCCCTTTTTGGGACCCTAATTCCTAAACAGTTGGGACCATCACCCCCAAAAACAATCCCAACCTTCCTTTTGTGGTATTGAACCTTTTGGTTAAATTTTATAGAGATCCATACACATAAACTAAAGTTATTGTCCGGAAACCAAATGTTTTCGGACAACGACAACGTGATAGCATTATACAACCCCAAAAATTTTTTGCGGTCGTATAAAAATCACTATTAATTTTCTGACAAGTAATTGAACAAAAGTAGAACTTACAGACAAAAGCACAAAGGAACATGCTATCTGTGCCTATAATATCTCTCGATACCTCTCTGTCACTAAGAACTGGCCTAGATTCACCACCAACCTGTAAAAAGGAAATTATAGCAAATTGAACAATCTGGTTATCTTTTACCAATAAACTAATCAGTTAATAAATATTGAGTTTGAAATTCAACTTTTTCTATGGTACTGATAAGGTCTCCAAAGTACTGTAAATTCAGAATTACTTTACCATGAAAAATGAATAAAATATATATCTACCTCTGGGTCTGGGTGTACTTTAGTTCTCTCTGCCTCTTCATAACTGGGTAATGAAGTAGCTTCTACATATGTGGGCAGTTTCATATTCTGTGCTGATTCAGCCTGGTCTGAAATATACATCCATATTGTTTTTGTTACTTTGAGTATTTTCATTTAATATTACAATACAATATAAAAGTATTGTAGAAGAGTGGACAGCTATTTTTTCTAGTACATTGATTTATTGTTGGTTATTTAATGCCACCTTCAGCACTCTTGGCTATATCTTGGCAACCATTTTTTATTGGTGGAAGATTTTTCTGATACATTTATGATTTTAAATATTATCAGAAGGAGTTTAGATTTCGTAATATGACATGAACACTTGTTAATTATTGTAACAAAGATCATGTATTGAAATCAAGATGTCTTTTTATTTTATTGTGTTGTTTGATGTATACCCACTCTTCTTTTTATTGATATCAACTTTAAAGTTGTTTCTTTCAACAAGGTATTAAATTAAGACAGGGGGTAACAATTAGAGTTTGTAAGATAATATGAAACACAGGTATACTTCACCTGAGTTTACAGTATATACATGTTAGGGAACAGTTATCCTGTAACAAGTGTAATAACTTTATATTTCCATGATAAACTTCCAGTGCAATTCAATTGTTTAACCAGTTTTTAGGAAGATTTTCTAACTGTTGTTCAAAGTGCACCATATCCCATGATAATGAAAACAGATTTCTGGTAAGGTATTTTTCAACTTTAATCAGGCAATTATCAATAATGCACAACATATTACAGCATATGTATTATGCTAACAGCCCCTAGAAACAAGTGTATTCCATTTAATATTTTCAATTGTGTATTTTAGCAATAAATCCAGCAATTTCACGTTGGAACTTCTTGTATTGAACTTTTTTTTTAAGGTGGCAATTTTAGCTGGTCTGACTGAGTTTAGTTGATTTTAATAGTCTGTTATATTGTAATTGCCAATTTTCAAGTTTTTGTGTAAAAAATATTTATTCAACAACCTTTTATTTATTTTTCTTTGTATTATTATGACATACCTGATGAAGCTTGGTGTTGATTTATTCCAGGATAAGCGGGAGGGGGTTCCACCATTGTCAAGGTCACTGGTTCAGCTGGAACCCTCTCATCTTCACCAACCAACTAAAATACACAGATATTTATGTTATCTAAAAACATTTCAAGGAAATCAAGACGGCATTATAATATCAATAAAGATTACATGTACATGTATAATCTTTAAAATGCATGTAAATTTAAATGCTTTTTTACTTTTTTGTTTTCAGAGTAACTTTTTCCTTTATAAGAAGTGATTCAAACTGCAATTGGGTTAAACTTTTTAGCAATTGGTATTGTGAAAGAATAAAGCCTTCTCATTAAGCACAATAATTGGGTGCTACAAGGTCATTCTTCTTCAACTTCCCGGTAAGGAACTGGATTCAAAATTTAAATGTGCATGGTTCTGCATGAACGATAAGACACCTGTTCTAGGTGAGGTTATTTGCAAATTTTTTCCCACATAGACTTTATAGGATTTGATATGGGATTCTCTGAGGGCTGTTTATTCAGAAAATTGCTCTGGACACAGAAATTCCCCAAAAGGATTAGGTTAACACCTAGTCCAAATAATTATGACGTCTTGAAAGGCTATTCTAATTTTTTGCATTTGACGCCTTACTGCAGTGTGACTGTGTCACAGCAAAAAATTAAAATAGCCTATCAAGACGTCATAATTATTTGGACTAGGTTAACATGTAAAGCAAAATATTGTCCTATGAAATATTGTCCCCCAAGACAATATTTCATGACTATGAAAAAATGTCCACAGAAGGACAAATTTCCATTATGAAATTCTGTCTGTATATAAACAATATTTCATAGATGAATACTATGAAATTTTGTCCTGTTAAAAGGATGTTACATTTTGTGTATATTGAGACAATATTTTATAGACAGATTGTCATGAAATTTTTTCTCATGAAAGGGAGGTATTAGAAAAGGACATTCCTGTTACTCCTGTACCTCCAAAATGCTGTTGCAAAACAATTCATCAATCTAGTATTTATGAATACTATTAGAACATTCAATTTTGAACATATATAAAGTGATTGTCAGTACATTACTTATATCTATACAGTATAATGTAGTACAATGAAACATAGGTAAGACATATCTTTAATCTATTAACCATTTATAAAATATCTATGCAAATTTGTTCAAATAAATATTTGTTTGAAATATAAAATATATACTTGCTTTACAAAATAATTTCAGTTAAAAATGTGCATGCTTCATGCTTGAATACACGTACTGTTTTTAATTTTGTAATAATTTGATTAGGAAATATTTTCATGGACAATATTTCACAGTAAAATAATGTCATGGAAAGAATTTCACAGTGAAATAATGTCATAGACAGTATTTCAAAGTGAAATTTTGTCATGGACAGAATTTCAAAGTGAAATATTGTCCTGAAGGAGGTGACAAAATTTCATGGACAAGGACACTATTTCATAATGAAATATTGAACTGGACAGTATTTCGTTATGAAATAGTGTCTACGAAGAATATTCTATATGAAATTTTGTCCAACGGACAATATCTCATGGGGGACAATATACAATTATGGCCCGTTGAAAAGGTGAATATCCAAAATTGTCAACACGAGAAGGTTATTTCACTGAGGGCGCAGCCCAAGTGAAATAACTTTTAAGGGTTGACAATTTTGGATATTCATCGCTTCTAAGGGGCCACAATTGTTTTATTATACCGAACTAACAGTGGAAGGGCGTTTTGAATCATTGTAAAAGCACTTACCCTCAAGGTTGGGCGGTATTTACCACCCCCGGTATTTACCAGTGGTATTTACCGGTATTTACCGCCCCGGACAATACTCCCCAAGTGGTCAATACTGGCAAATACTGGTCAATTGAAATTTTCATGCTTCTTTTGACTGACTTATCTATCAATTCTAGTAAAAAAATTGTTGATGAGGGAAAACTTTATTCCTTTGGCATGATTCAATTTATAAAAATGAATGATATTGGTATGTTATTAATTATTAAAACATTAAAAATGACTAATTTAGTTCTTAGGGGCAATGATATTGCATACTTTTGGTATACATATAAAATTGAGCAGCTATATCAGTTATTCTAACATGTAAAAATCAAGATATTTTTTTCTTGAAAAGGTTTGAATTTTACAGGTAAATAGAATTACAAGTGACTAGCAATATAGATTATCAGAACATTACCTATTATATGGCTAACAGGTGTCAAAAGTTTAATTACTTTTAACAACTGTCCCCTAATAAATGTTGACATAACAGGAAAAAAGTCATAAAAGTGATTTCTAAAGATTGTTTTAAACAATGAATTAATTCCTGACTATTCAACAGCATGATAAAAAATGTTCTAAATGCAGGAAATGTTTTTTTTAATAAATATATAACAAATATATATATAAAACAATTTTTTTAAATTTTTTAATTGCATCTTTCAAAATAACTGTTAAGAAAATCAGATGTTATATAGTCTCTCTTAAGTGACTGACTTCATGGTGTTAATGACTATATCTGTTGTATGATTAAATTAATATTTGATAAATCTTCATTAAACCATGTTCATGAACTAATTAATTGTGATTTTTTGTCTTATTACAATGTAGTAAATAAGTGACTTTCTGCCTTGTGACTATATCTATCCATTTACCAAGTAATTGACCTGAGGTAGGGGCTAGTTTTATAGTAAAGTCCTATCAAAATTTCAATTGACCAGTATTTGCCAGTATTGACCAGTATTTGCCAGTATTTCCCGGTATTTACCGCCGGCGTGGTCAATACTAGTATTGACCGCTTTTTTGCCAACCTTGCTTACCCTTACTTGAGTCAGTAACAAACACAAGTTGACGTTCAAAAATACATGTAATTTGTGTCTTAGAATTCTCGTATGTACAATAAAGGTAGATTCTTTTTGTAAAATAATGATGGCCCTGAAAAGGACCGTTATTAGAGATATCATCGGCACAAGATGCACGTCAAAAGCCTTATTTCCTCTTCTCTCGATCAATGGGCTTCCCGTAACTTGAATGTTGCCATTTTGTTTATTTACGTCTGTGACGTCATTTTCATGAGTACAAATCAACAAACTAAAAAGGTTATTCGCCGGTGAATAATAGGGTTATTCATAAACGCTGGTGTAAATTTTTAGGGTTATTCGTTCTTCCTTGCAATTGAATGAAAATTAACTGAATTATTCCATGTCACGTGATAACGTTTTACCCAATAGAATTGTTTGAAATATATGTAAGGTATAATAATATTTTATGTTACAAACACCCATCTTTTCTAACAAACTGTGTCACTGAGAGTTTATGTTGATCTTAAATCTTTTTTGACGTCATACAACAATCACTTTTCCATTGTGGCGTCAGATATTTTCTATTATGACGTCAAAATTTTACGGGAACTTTTGTGATGTCCAGTAATGACGGACAAATAGCGATAAGGTGTATATCTTCTTCTTCCATATACTGCCCACATTCAACATGATGAATATTCTGGCAAGTTGCGCATGATTAAAAACAGGTTAAAAACAGGATAAAAACAAATTGTTCTGTTGATTTAGTTTGTGGTTTTGGTGACTTGAGACTTGAATATCTCAAGAGACTTTGCTGTGGCGGTATCTGGTGGCAGTTTGTTCCAATCCTTGACGGTGTTTATGAAGAAGGACCATTTCCTACAGTCTTTGGTGGCTGGCTGTAATAGGTAAGTATGTTGTCCTGTCCGGTTTGAGCTTCTTGTTGGTTTTTGTAGATATTTATTCTTGTCTATGGCTACAAGGTCGTTTGTTATTTTGTAACACATGATGAGTCGTGCTTCTTTTCGTCTTGTTTGTAAGCTTTTCCATCCTAATTCATTTATCATGTTGCTGACACTTGATCTATTTCTATGTCTGCTGGTTACATATCGTGCAGCTCTTCTTTGTACCTTTTCAATTTTATCTATGTGGTTTTGCTGGTACGGGTCCCATACTGTCGTGGCGTATTCCATTTGCGGTCTTACTAATATTTTATAGGCATGCTCTTTGATGGATTTTGAGCTAATGTGGAGGTTTCGATGTAGGAAACCAAGGCTTCGGCTGGCTTTTCCTGTGATGTTGTTTATATGTTCTCCCCAATCTAGATCATTTGCGATGGTGCAGCCTAGGTATTTAGTTGATGTTTCATGCACCAGAGTATGGCCGTGGAGTTTATAGTCCCACTTGGTTGGCTTTTTCTTTTTTGTAACAGTGAGGACACTACATTTTTCAGGATGGAACTCCATTTTCCAGAGTTCTTCCCATTTTGCCAGTTTGTCCAGGTCTTCTTGGAGTTTATGGCAGTCGCTGTCTGATGAAATTGTCAAATAGACCACAGTATCGTCCGCAAACAGTCTCACTGTGGAGTGTAAGCCTTCTGGTAGGTCGTTGATGTAGAACAGAAAAAGACTGGGTCCTAATACTGATCCTTGCGGTACTCCGGATTCTACTTTTACTTTGTCAGATGTTTCGCCTTCAACAACTACTACCTGGGTTCTATTGGTGAGAAATTCCTTTATCCATTTGTTTGTTTTACTTCGGATGCCATAATGGTGTAATTTATGGAGGAGTAAGCTGTGGGACACCTTATCAAAAGCTTTTGAAAAGTCAAGTATTAGCAGATCTGATTGTTTTCCGTTTTCCAGGTTTTTTGTGATGTCATCGATACATTCAAGGAGTTGTGTTTCGCATGATCTTTTACTTCTGAAGCCGTGTTGTAATGGGTATAGTATGTTATTTACCTCTGCATGTTTCATGATGTTACTGGTGATTATGTGTTCTATTATTTTGCAGCAAATACATGTTAGGGATATTGGCCTATAGTTAGCTGCTATGTATTTCTGGCCTTTCTTATATGCCGGAGTGACATTTGCAGTTCGCCAGTCATCGGGTATCTTTCCTTCCTCCATTGAAAAATTGTATATGATGGTTAAGATTGGAGCAATTTCACTGGCTAGTTCTTTCAGAATCATTGGCTTGATGTTGTCTGGTCCAGCAGCCTTGTGTGGTTTTAGATTTTTCAGCTGTTTTTCCACTCCATTAATTGTGATGATTATTTGTTCGCTGTCTGGATAATTTTCTGGTAGATCTGACATGAGTTTTTTCTTTTCAAAATCTCGTTTACTGATTGGACATGCAGCAGAGAAGACTGATTGAAATTGATCATTTAGAATATTTGCTTTATTTATTGGGTCAGTTTCTAATTTCCCATTTCTTCTAAGTGGTGCTACTCCATTTTTATCACTTTTCTTGTGTTTGATATAGGTCCAGAATCTTTTTGTTGGTGAACGGATGTCCTCGTTATCTTCTGGAGTTATTATGTCTTCTATATACTTCCAATAGGCTTGTCTTGATTTTCTTTGGATGGTTTGTTTCAGTTGTTTAAATCTTTTAACATCAGTAGCATGGTTTGATTTCTTTTTCTTTTTATAAGCTCGGTCTCTTCGTCTCATAAGTTTTTTGATTTCCTGGGTTATCCATGGGTTTTTGTCCTTAGTCTTGCATACTTTGGAAGGTATATGCTGGTTAGTACTGCTTTCTAGGTCTTCTTTGAACATGTTCCAGAGTATATTGATGTTTGTCTTCTTGTTCAGGCTTTCTTTTTGAATTTTGATATAAAGCAAATTCATATCCTCTTTTATGCTGTCCCATTTAGCTCTTCTATACAGTTGGATTTTTCTTGGCTTTTGTTTGTTTGTCATTGGATTGGTGTTCATTTCTGCATACACAATATCATGGTCTGAAATTCCTGGAATGACATCAAGTCTCATCATTTTACTAGGACAGTTGGTTATAAGAAGGTCCAAAGTGTTTTTATTTCTAGTTGGCTCTTGTACTAATTGAGTTAATCCATTGTCATCAAGAATATCTGTAAGCTGGTAATGTTGTTCTGCATGTTGAGTTCCTTGGCGGACTGTTTTGTTTGTCCAGTTCCATCCTGGTAGGTTGAAGTCACCCCCAATCATTAAGCATGCATTGTTTTGTGAGGCTCTAGTTACAGCTGTTTCAAATTCTGAGAGGCTCTCTTTGTTAGATGTTTTTGGATTATAATATGAGCATATGTAGAGGTCTTTTGTGCCTTTTTGTTGTATTCGTGCCCATATTATTTGTCTTCTTGTTCAGGCTTTCTTTTTGAATTTTGATATAAAGCAAATTCATATCCTCTTTTATGCTGTCCCATTTAGCTCTTCTATACAGTTGGATTTTTCTTGGCTTTTGTTTGTTTGTCATTGGATTGGTGTTCATTTCTGCATACACAATATCATGGTCTGAAATTCCTGGAATGACATCAACATATACACAGTTAGTGTCTAGTTCTGGTATTTCAGTGCTTAGAAACTTGTTGTGTATGGCGATAAGGACTCCACCCCCAGTTTTATTTTCTTTTCTGTCCTTGCGATAGATGTTATATTCTGGAGGGAATATTTGGCTGTTGCCAGTGTTGGTGATTGATGAATCCAACCAAGTTTCTGTCATTATCATTACGTCTGGCTTTGTACTATCTATAAGATTTTGGACTTGGTGTTGTTTGTTTCTGATGGACTGACAATTCACATTTGAATATATAGGAAGGAACACAATAACAATTTCATTTCTAATAATTCTTTGATATGAAAAAACGTTACCTGATGATAGCGTTTCTTTGTTTACATTGAATATGACGTCATAACTAAAATAACGTCACAACTAAAATCCCTAACAACAGAACCAAAATCGGAAACGTTACGGTATTTCCGTTTCTTTTTTAACAGATTTAGAACTGAAAATATGTTTGAATTAAAAAAAAATAATTTATATAGACTTCGTCCCCTTTCACAGGTAATGCATGCCTCATATTATTGCTTCAAATAACTCTTAAAATTTCAAATGCTGAAAATAATTTTATAATATACTGTAGGGTGGATCTTATCATATTTATCAGCTGTTCAACATAAATATACAAAAAAACGTAAAAGAGTAAAGAAACATCAAAATATTTAGACACCAGGACACATACTACTTCATAGCGAACGTTAGAGTGTTCCATTGAGACGCTCGTATTTGTATTTGTTCTGTTTTTCTGCAGTCAATCTATTTGTCAGTGTCAATGAAAATGGCGATTCTGGTGGAATGAAAAAATCCGAGAATTTCGGATTTTTACTGGTCCTGTATGTTTACAAATGTTTTAGATAGATTAAAGCGATCGTAGTAAGAATACCGGTGTAACGAACCAGTAATTATGTTAGACTGGTTGAAGTGAGCTGGTAACCCATGAATTGACAGCCAACAAACTTTGAGTTGTCAGGTGCTGGGAGAATGCACACATTTATTGACCTAGATATACATAAAATATGCCAGTGCTTTCAGTAAGTAACCCAAATATTTGCAGATTTTGTTGTGCATAATATTTAGGAATGCAAGATGGATAACTAAAACCAAACAAAACGTTTTACAGGTCAGAAACTGTGCAGTCAGCTGCTTTTTAAAGGTTAACATTTTTATATAGAAGTTGAAAACAGCTGATATCTTCTTTGTCACGCATTGAACATGCTCTTATCACTAAACTATTGTTTCACTTGCTGTGAACTGCTATATAGATGAGGCTGTGAGTATGCTTCTGATATTTACATGTACAAAATATGTCAACTGCAAAAAGTTTTTTAACATAAATTCTTAATTATGATTGTCACTGTTAGTTTGTAACTTTGCAGTATAACATTAAATGTTAAGAATTGGCTGGAGCATTATAATCATTAAGATTTATGTATTGTTTTGTTGCTTTAATGTTAACATGGCTGATCATCTTGAAATTTTATAGAAAATCCACAGCTTTACCCTTGTAAATTTACATTAGGCAATTCGGCACTTAATACAGTTTTTAAATAAAGATATTAGTATATGGACATATTTAGGGTGCGTTTGACTTTAGTGACAACTAGAGGTTTTTTTTATTGTAAATGTTGTTTAGGACTTTTTGTAAACAATACATGAAAACATAACCTGGACAAACAAGTGAGTATGTGTATATATGTCTCTGGTATAATATTAATGTATGTGTAAAATTTAAAAACAAAAATGACAATGTCTGTAATAAAGTCTGTGCCTGTGGATTTTCTGTAAAAATCTTTGCTAGCTTTGCCTCAAAATCCCCATTTTCCATTTAATGCATTGAAACAGTAAATATTATTGCTGTGAACGATGTTTCCATATATGGTATATATTGATTTATTATGAGATTGTTTCCTTGGAAATTGAAGGTTTTCAGTGGGATCAATCCAGCCGATTATTCAGATTACAACACTACATGTAAGAAAATAAATGAAAATGAGCCAAGGCTCCGTGTTGAAGGCCGTACTTTGACCTATAATTGTTTACTTTTTACACATTGTGACTTGGATGGATAGTTGTCTCATTGGCACTCATACCACATCTTCTTATTTATATTTAAATTTTAGCTGAAATCTAAATTTAAGATTTTTTGCACTGTAGCATTATATATCCCATATCATGATGTTTATAATCCATATATCATGTTTTATTCCATATTATCATGATTATATCCCTTTTGTTCATGTTTATATCTTTTTCTATCATATTTATATCCCTTTTTATAATGTTTATAACCCAATAAGTTGAGTGGTCCTACACATGTTAAAGTAAACTTTATGATAACTTAAGGATGTTCCCTTCTCTGTTTCAAAATAACAAGCTTTTTAAAAGACTGTTATAAATTGATAGTATATAAATAACGGAACTAATAAAGCAGAAAAAAATGAAGGGTCCGTGTGCTTGTTTTTGAGATATAAGCCGTTGAAAATTTTGGCGGGAAATGATTCTCTCTAGATTTTTCATACTATTAACATTGGCACTGTTTTTCTATCAAAAACTATGAAAAAATAACAAGGATTTTACAAGATTTTCTAATATGGCTTTTTAAACTATATGTTATAAAATTATGAAAAGAAAAGTAGGGCTTAGTGGGCAAAATTTTTAATGGCACTACATGGATAAAACCAGAGGATTCCGAATATCTGACAAAAATTCAAAAACAAGAGGAGCGAACATCCTTAATAAATAGATCAGCGTCTTTGACACTATTTACAATATTAAAGTGTAAGAAAGCAGTTGATTTTGTAATTAACTTTTGAAATTAGTACTAGCTTAATGGATTAATAGAACAATTTACTTAATATAGACTGTCATTGTAATGGATTAGTTTTAAGATCCTAGTCGAACTTTTGTTAAAATAGTGTTTCTGAATACTAGGTGTTCATTTGTTCCAACCTTCTCGCAAAACAATAGACTGGATGAAAAGAATATTTTTATTACCCTGCTCTTTTTTCATGCTGACAACCTTCACATACATGACATAAGCAAAGGGTCAAACTTTTCATAGGTTGGTCAATACGAAGAGATGATTTAAAAATGCAACTTGGAAAATAATAACTAATAACTAATCTTTTTTTTTATGTATTCAGGAAGCAGACTCATCATGAGCAGGGAAGAACTAAAATCTGACATCCATGATCTGTTAGAGGCCATATGGAAGGACTCTTTAAAGGACGTCAAAGATTTTATATCCAAAGGTGTTGATGTAAATCGAGCTGCAATCATTGAATATGAAGATTTCATGCCTCCACTTAGCTTGGCATGTCAAAGAGGCAATTTTGAAATAGCAAAATTTTTGTTTGAAAATGGAGCTGACTTATCGATACCAGGTTCAGATGGAAAAACTGCATTACATTATGTCTGTGAAGGAGATGAGCATAGGGAAGAAAAAAAGGGGGAACTTTTCAAAATCTTAAAATATTTAGTTGAACATGGAGCAAATATTGATATCAAAGATAATATGGGATGCACTCCACTTTTTACAGCATGTGAAGTGGACGATATTAATATGGTGCGACTACTTATTCAGTCAAAATGTGACATAAACGTAAATACTGTGAATGGTTATTCAGCCATGAAAGTAGCCTGCAGAAATGCCAAGTTTTGGTCTTACTGGCATGGTCGTGCTTTGTGCAACACTGCTACAAAAGTTGATCCAAATGAGTTTCCACCAATTCAGATTACAAAAATGCTTCTACAGGCTAATGCAAATATGACTGATGCAACATTATTACCAACAGCAGTCCAGTTTGGAGATCCAAATCTAGTCAGAGAACTGATAGGACTTGGTATGGACGTAAATATGCTTGATGATAATATGTGTACCCCTCTTGGCTCTGCTTGTACATCTGTCAGTGTTAAATGTGATGTAGTTAAACTTTTACTGAGTCTTGGAGCAGATGTCAATAAAGGTGGAGGATGGAAAAAGCAAAAGCCATTAATCTTTGCGTATGTTCACAATTCAGTTGATAAAATTAGGATTCTGCTCTCATATGGTGCTAAAGTTACTCCAGAAGAAATGACTGAACTTGTTTCCTTGAGCTTTTCCAAGTCAATCTTAGAAAACCCTGAAGTCATTGGACCAAATAGCAAAGAACTGTTGTCTTGGCAACTACTTCTTGCTGCTGGTTTCAGACCAATTGTGAATGGGACACAACTAGAGGAGAAGGTATTCCAGCTTCAAATGTGCAGTAGCTATGATAAAATCTGTCCATGGATTACTTCTCTATTGTTTCCCATGCTTTCTCTGAAAGAACATTGCCGATTAGCCATTAGAAACAGCATTCCTACTAGTATAGATAGTCATTTGGACAAGTTGTTTCTTCCAAAACATCTGACAGATTTTCTTAGCTTTCAAGAGTACTCATCTGTTGAAAATAGATGAAATTGATGAAATCAATTATATACAGTATGCCATATGGAACTTGTTTGTAATTAAGTTTTAACATTTGTATTAAGTATAACTGTTTTAAGGTGCCATTTTGTTAAAGCTGTCATGTCAGTCACTATATTGCTATGTTTATTATACAGAATGCCATATGTTAGTTTTTATGGGTCTTTTATGTCTTTAGTCAAAAGTTGCAAAGACTACACACTTTTTTTTATTATTTTGCTGCAGTTGAGGCCAAGCCTAGAGTTTATTGTTTATATTCTGAATGGTTGCAAAGCTTTAAGTGTACATTTGTAATCTGTTTGTAGTTTTCATATTTTGCCTAATAAATATCAGTCATTTGTTTCTCTTAACAAAGTACAAGTATTAACAGTTCTATTAACAAAACTATCTTAAAAATACATTTACTTGGTCACCTAATGGCGAAAACTTAAAATTGAATTCATGTACATAAAGAATTAGATAAATGTTATATACAAGAATATTTTGAGTTTTCCCTTTATAAGGGTTTCTACAACATACACATCATGCATGTATCAGAGGGTTTATGATCATGATGATGTTCAGAGGGAAATATGATGTTTTATTCATGATCAATGTCACATGGTAGTTTTTAACCAATCAAATATTTATTTACCTATAAATATTAACAAAAAATGTACCTAATTGTCTGCTCTATGGTCGGGTTGTTGTCTCTTTGACACATTCCCCATTTCCATTCTCAATTTTATACATGTAGTGGAATAAATTGATTTATTTCTCTTTTATAATTATAACAGATTTTAATAACATATTCTTAATTATAATATTTTGAGTTATTTCCCTTTATAAGGGTTTCTATATAATCTGATAGATTTTTTTATATTTAAATGAAAAAAAAATGATATTCTTGTTGATTTCCTCTCTATACACAAACTATCTTTAAACTGATATGGCTACTGAAAACTGCCGTAGTACTCATTTTCCTTTAAAAAAAATCCTATGAAGGTATCAGTATAACAGCAAACACTTAACTATAGCAGTTGTATGTATAGGGGGTAACAAGCGATGAAATTATTAGGAGCGGACATGTGGCAATTCTTGCATTTTAACTGATGTCATTAAGACTTTTATTGCTGTCTGATTGTGTAGGTAAATATCTGTAGTAATGGAACAATTGAAAGAAATAAACTTTTCTTGTCCTTTCAAAGATGTTTGTCATTTGTTTCCTTTAGAACAATGGCTATTCCATAATGTAATACTATAAAGTTAAGGTTGGGTGCTAATAAGGTACTCCTCATTACAGAATCTTGGGTCGTTTGGAGGTCGGTTCAAATCCATTTTTCTATGCATCAGTATGGATTCTTCAATTAAATTTGTGGAAGTATATAGTAAATATTAAAGGATAGAGCTACAAAATAAGCTTAGAATTGAAACTTTTGTCTGTTTCTTAAATAAATGTAGGTGAAAAACTGTCAAAATAGGTGCAATTTTGGTACCCTCATGTTACACGTATTATCAACATGCAAGAAGATTTTTTGCCCATTAGCATTTTTAATCGTTGCCATGGTGACATTTATCTCCCTTTAAACAAGTCTCATCTTTAAGCACATACAAAGAAAAAAAACCCACTTTTACCCAGTTCAGACAACTGAAAAAAATGACCTACAATCATCATGTATGTCATGGAAAAGATTCATGCACTTAGATACCTGTTAGCCTCAGTTTATCACTACTGAATTTTGTGATGTTTGGGATTGTCAATCATTATACTTGTCAAGGACAACCTTTTCTAAATTGTACTTGATTAAAGATATTACATTTAGAACAAGTTAGGTACATTACACTGTATCACATAAAAATAAGTTTCCATCATATAAACATGATAAATGTTTGTTTTGTTTAAAAATTTATTGACTCATTTTATGTACTTGCTTTAAGGGAGGTGATACAGTCGGAGGGCAGTTACAGTATTTAATTAACATTAATAAATGATCAAAATTCCTTTAGTTATAAGTTTTGTCTATGGTGAAAGTGTAAAACAAAATAAGATCACCGGGATAAAAGTTTATAAAATATAATAAGCTACTAAATGTTTTTGGTGACTTTATATTATATGTACTTAGGCCACAGGTACTTGTATTTTTCCTGAGTTTTTGCCAGCTTAACAAAAAAAAATGTTGATGGAATCTGGTGAGAGAAATTGTTAACTTTGACAAATATTTTAGTGATCTTAGAATATCTCAAAATATGAGTTGACTATTTTGGAACCACATTTAGTGATTTTTTTTTATAGTTTCATTAAAATAAGCACCAAAAACATATCATTTATTTCAAATCTGTAATTACAGCTAAAAAAAAAACAGTAAGAAAAATTACAAGAACCACAATTTAGGTCAGCAAATTTTCCAATTTTGGCATACAACAATAAATTAAATATGAATTTTCAAATTTTTGTTGGAGTGAAGAAAAGACTGCTTGTAGTGGTAGAGTATGCTCCCCCTTTTTGATCAGAAAACAAAACTTTTAGCATAAAATGGTTCAAAATCAGCTTTGCTTGCTGATATTTTAACCATTTGCAAGAATTGTACCCCCTTCCCCAAAACCTGGATCTGCCCCTGGCTTATCTCCATACTTTTTTCTGGGCATATATTTTTACTCAGACATTGTAACCTTTGTTTTATTTTTTATTACCAAAGATCTCATATCACCTTGCAGGTTATAATGCAATGGGACTGTCTTAAACTCACCTTAGTAACCTTGATTTTTAATCTCATTTGATGACCTCAAATATTCCTAAACTTGTTGAAAAATTAACCTATAGGGCCAATTACTTTTATCATAAAAAATTATCATGAAAAAAAAAATCTAATTATACTTGTTAAGTAACATGCCAAAAATGTATATTAGATTCATAAGACAATCTGTGTTTAAAAGTGAAATGTATAAATTTACTATTTATTAGGCATAATATGATAGATGTACATGTATATCTGAATATATTCCACATTTGTATAACAGAGCCAAAAATTGTAATTATTACAAATAATTATGTTGTGTATGAATCAAATATAAGCAATTATACTGTTGTTTCTTTTATAATTAATGATTTGAACTTAATGTTGGTTGTAGCTCATCATCACAGATGCAGATGATGACCCTATATTTCTATATTTTAGAGATTACCCTGGGAGTAGTTTCTCCTCTAATTTCCACATGAAGTGATGTTTGCATAAGACGTTTGTCCCCATAGCGGTACCACCCACTTGTAGTGAGGTGACTAACTTAAGGAGTCCAAGAAGACCTTTGTTTGATATTTGGTAAGACGCCAGGTTTGTTTGAAACATTATGCAAAGAAGAGTTAACCTTCCTGGTGGGAATGTATAGTGATGGATGATAAGTAACAACCACAGTGAGGGTTCAGATTTGTGACAAGCAGGAGATCTTGGATACATTCAATCTTGTTAATAAAATCTGAGGTGTTCCTAACATAGCATGCTTCAAGTGTATTACAATCTTAGAATTGTAACAGTGACAGCTTTAAAATGCAAGTCTTCTGGCGGCGTTTTACAGCAAACTTTCCTTCTCAGTAGAATTGTTTGCCATCTTGTGTAGTTGACAAAATTGTACTGCCATTTTGATACTACCATTTTTACAGGAGTTATGGGACTTCAACTATTTTTAGGAGTATTGTGACAATACACCTTGTGAGACCATTTGACAGAAAGCTGTCATACTTGATACTATTTTTGCCATCATGTGTTGTTGACTATATTTTACCGATATTTTGATCCAAACATCTCACAGAATTCTCTCATACTTGGTAAGATTGTTTGCCATCATGTGTTGTTGACCATATTATACGGTCATTTTGATCCCACCATTTTTAGCTCACCTGGCCCATAGGGCCAAGTGAGCTTTTCTAATATCCGTCATCGTCGTCTGTTAACTTTTACAAAAATTTTCTCCTCTGAAACTACTGGACCAAATTTAACCAAACTTGGCCACAATGATCATTGGGGTATCTAGTTTAAAAAACGTGTCCGATACCCTGCCTGCCAACCAAGATGGCCGACACGGCTTACAAGAGGCTGTCGAGTGACAGCAAACCGGATTTTCCTGCATAGGTCGAACCCTGAACAGTTGAACAAGTATGTACACAACATTTAAGCTGAAAACAGCTCTGAATTTGGATTGTGATTGAATATTTATAATAGATTATTATCTAATTAATAATGAAAATGATATTTGCAAATCTAAACCCCAAACAGGATCATGTAAAAATTAAACATTAACAAACACAACAAAAATAAAATACCACATAACAACTGTGACATCTACCTTCATAACACACATGACTTAAAAAAAATAGTTATAAAGAAATTTTGATGTCATCTTTACTGGTTCATGGAATAAGTTTGAGTTATTTCCCTTAGAACAGAAATATGGTTTAACATAGTACTCTTAACATTAGAATGATATGATTTCACTAAAAATAGTTCTCTAAAATAGATATGATGTAACACAATGTATATCTATTTTCAAATTATAATCAGATATAATTAATAGTTCCAAATATTTTTTCTTTCATTTGTCACAAACTAATATAGATCTGCAACTTATCTATCAACTTTATCTACACAATGTAATGTAATGAAATATATCCTTTAATAAAAATAGATTATTATCTAATTAAAGGAGTTCACTTCATAAATTTTTTTTTATATATATAGCATTCAGAAAATTAGTTTATACAGAATAACAAACAAACCTACCACAAAATTCTTCAAACAATTTACCAAAGAAAAGAAAAAAAAAAATCCAAAATGTCATTTATCATTAATACAATGTCTTTTAAAAATCTTTTAAAAAATGAGTTATTTCCCTTTGTACAGAAATGGATTAATTCATCAAAAATTGAATTCTTGGGAAAGGGCTATAACTGAACAACGAGAAGAGCTAAAATCATGAAAATTGAACTTGACCTTCATTTAGTCACAGGAAACAACATATCTAAATTTGAAAAAAATTTCTTGAAAGCATTTTCATGTAAATGCAGCCGCCCGCCGTACATCCCCAAATCAATAACCGATTTTTACTTTGAAAATCCGGTTAAAATAGAAAATAGGGGTAAAATGCAATTTTTATCTTATTATTTTGAAAACCGTTATGAATTGAGAAAATCTGACACGAGCAGAAATGTTCAGAATGTTGAGCTCTTCCAATTGTCCGTATACATCAAAACTGTCAGATGACTTCTAATAGGAGTTATTGCCCTTAAATGACAAATTTTACCATTTTTTTCATTTTTGCCTAGTATTTTGAAAACTATAATAGATAGAGAGATACATGATCGAAATCGTCAACCAACTCCTAAGTAGAGTTATTGCCCATTGATTATGATTTTTACCATTTTGGGGGGGGTTTTGCCTTATATCTTAAAAATTATAATAGATAGAAACTTAAAAAAGCAAAAAATGATCAGTAAGACAAGATCTACAATTTAAGACAATATAGAGGAAATGGTCTACTAACCAGTCAAATTTTGCCAATATACGTAGTAGACTGTCACGCTTTATAGTAGTGATTGCCCTTCCGCTTTATAGTAGTGATTGCCCTCAGTTAAATATGGAAATTTTTTTTACCCTCTTTTGTGTTTTGAGCAAAAACTAAAGAAGATAGAAACTAAACAGACTAAATGATCAGAAATACAAGATCAACAAAACAGATTTTTGTCATGAATTCTATTCTCATCTACAATGTTGAAGGATTTGCTCTAATACATGGTAAATTTGCCCTGGTTAGTAACAAATACAGGGCAAATTTTCCCCTGTGAGTGTAACAAATACAGGGGAAATTGGCCTCGGAGTGTAACAAATACAGGGGAATTGACCTCGGTGAGTGTAACAAATACAGGGGAAATTGGCCTCGGAGAGTGTTACAAATATAGGGGAAATTGGCCTCAGTGAGTGTTACAAATACAGGGGAAATTTGCCCCGGTGATTGTAACAAATACAGGGGAAATCGGCTCTACTCCTGGATCCCAATTATTGTCATATTAGCCTATTATATCTGGGTTTCCCACAGAATTTTGTCATTATAACAGAACTATAAACAACTGTCATGCAAGTGGGAGATTTAGCTAGCTATAAAACTAGATTTAACCTATAATTTTCGTTGGAAAATGCCTGTACCAAGTCAGGAATATGGCAATTGTTTTCACTTGTTCCATTGATAGTTAGTGTTTGATTTTGTCAGTTTTTTTGAATTTGCCTTGGAGTTCTGTATTTTTGTTATGCTTTTTTAACAATGTAAAAGTGCAATAAAAAAAATAATGAAACTGTACTCAACAGACTGCAGAATAATTTAATCAACTACATCAGCTGAATAATCTAATATTTACTATTTTGTTAATGACCTATTGCTTCCAATTCCTTCTTTGCCTAGTTCAAATAGTAAATCAGCTTTTGCTATGTTTGAAACACAAATGAAAAAAAAAAGGTTTCCAATGAACTCTGCTTTATGAACAAATATGAACAAATAGTCCTTCAGAGGTAGTCATTTTAGGTACTTAAAAGCAAAGTACAAGCATTCAATATTTCATGTCTTAGTTTGTCATTGCTGAATATGCCAAGGATTGAATTGTAAGAACTAATCCTGTTATCTATTTGTAGGTTGCACTTCTGTAAATATAGACAATGCAATTTCCCATAGGAACTCCTTTTACGGCTAAAACTGCCACTTCTACTAACAAGTTTCGTAAAATTATATCCTAGAATGAAAAGTTTATATGCACATTTTTTTTTTCAAAGTTAAAACATAGGGCTGTGCAGCATATTTTCAACATTTATATGCCTCAAACTTCTAAGAGTTTAAACTTATACTAAAATTCTGCACTACCTCTCCCTTCACTTTGGGTCTTCCTCAGAATTCAATTTGGCTGCTATCCATGTGTATTTATACTGATTCCCAAGTTGCATCTTTATGAGATGAAACAGAGATCATATCTGGGAATTAGTAGGTAAACAAAATAAAATACTGTAAATTCAGAAATTATTTTGTGCATTCATTATTGTGATTTTTATTTATTGTGATTTTGAAAAATTACGCATACAGATCTGTTTCAGTTATCAGAATGCATGTTTATATTATTGCGATACTCACCTAGACGCATTATTTGCATTTATAATAAAATGATTCGCCAAGCGCACCCTGATACGACCGCAGAGGTCAAATCCTGAACAGTTGGGGCAAGTTTGGACACAATATTCAAAGCTTGATACTGTCTGAATTTGGATTGTGATCAAATTTTTGACATAATATAGGTTTCTGACACAAAATAAATGTGGTCAAAGATCTTAAAAATTTGAAATGGGACATTTAATTTATCTGGTATGGTCTGATATCCAAAATCTAACAACATGGTTAGATTCAGCATATAAAAAAACACCAAAAATTTAATTTTAGTTGAAATCAAACAAAGTTTAATATTGGACCCTTCAAACCTTAATATGGACTAATTTGAAAACAGGGTCCAAAATAAAAAATCTAAATGCAAAATAAAATTCAGCATATCATAGAGCCTCAATAATTCAGTTTTTGATGAAATCAAACAAAGTTTAATTTTGGACCTCAATGTAGACCAATTTAAAAATGGGGCCCAATATCCAAAATAGTAATACAAGGTCAGAACCCCCAAAAATTATAGACTAAATTAATCCTATTGAAACTGGTTAAAAGATTTGTATTTATTTTCAATTGAAGATTTCTTGCTATTGTACAATACTGTGCTATTGCGCATTACTGTGCTTTTGCACAATACTTAGTTAATCTGTTATATATAATAATTTACACACCATGTTTGGTGTGTATCTCCTGCCATATCATATTTGGGGGAAAAAAAAACAAAAAGTTATGAAAAAAAATCCCCCAAAAAATTTGTCCCCACCCCAAAAAAAATTTTTTGAAAATTTTTGAAGAAAAAAAGTATAAACGCCCCCAACAAATTTTTGAAAAAATCCTCCCCCCCCCCCCCCCTCAACTATTTGAAACCCCCCCAAATTTTTTTTGAAATTTCGAAGATTATTTT